TTTTTTTTTTTTTTTTTTTGCATCCAGGATGAGAGCCCTACTGGGTTTTAAATCCAAGGAGCTGGAACTATTTTGGGTTGGGGTGAAGTCACATTCTGGACCCTAGACAGAGCATTTTTAAGTTCCAGAAAGTGCTTCTTACTTCATATTTCCTTTCCCTGATCTTTGCTTTTGAAACTCCTGGCACCAATGCTGCCGAGGCTGGCAGAGATTTCCTGAGTGATGTCTACCAAATGAGGTATCAAGGAATATCTGGAAAGGCAGCCTCCAGCCCCTGATGTCAAGACCATTTAGAACTAAAAGTGTCTTAACATCAGGGCACAGCCAATAAACATTATTTATGATTCAGCCTGAAACTGATGCTAAAATGGGAGGAAATGATTCAATTATTTCCTCTTAAGGCATTACTCAATGTTGTTTTTGTGTTTAAATATTTATTTGTCAACATCAAGAACTCTTAGTACATGATGCATCAGCATTTTTGAACAAGTCATGGATTTGGCTACAAAGCAAATTTTAGGATGGGTGGAGTGGCAAATTACAGGATGTCTGTGAGTGTCTCCCCTTTAAAATAAAAGAGAGTGGGTAGTCTATGAGGAGGGACCTACAAAGGCTGGAGACTATTCTTAGCTCCGTCACTGACTCCAAGTTCATCCCCTCTGTCTTTCAGTTTGGGTAAGCATCAATTCGTTACCTAAAATTTGTAATAAGGAAAGTCTTCATAATTCATGATTGTGTTTATTCTTATGTTCATGAATTTCTATGTTGGTTCCATTCCTCCCCTGATATTTTAAGAAAACAAGTAATATAGTAAATGATTCTTTTTCTGAAAGATCACAGACCTTCAACTATTCTTAGAAAGTCTTTGGCAACTCCTGGAAACAAGCTGAAGTAGGAACAAATGTTTGAGGGTTAGGGTTAAGAATAGGGCAATTAATTGGCTAATGCTTTAGTCTGGTTCTGACTTTGCTACTCCTTAGCTGTTTTGTGATGACTGCTTGCACGTGTGTCTGTTTGAGAGCTATTTATATGAGCATGCTGCCCCCAGCCTGTGTGGATGTCTGTGGTTTCACATGATACAATGTATTTTTTAAAGTCTACTGAATTTTATTTAATTTTTCAAAAATAGAAACTCATATTCCTTCCTTCTTAGTTTCTTTCAGGACATTCTCATGAGACTGGTAAAATATAACTGTGAAGTACCATGATAATTGTCAAATAGCATGATCCTTGTGAGAGCTATATGACCGAAAGCTTCCATAAGAATAAATCCAATGCCGCTTGTCTGAAACCTGCTGTTAAATCTGTTTGCATTTAATAAATACATGTCGATTAATTCATTCTCCTGGGTGGTGTTGAGAAAGTAAAAATCATAGCTGATAAAAATTGTGTTTATGGTTTTGGCTAATTTATTTTTCAGTTGAGATACAGGCCACTGTTCTCAACTCTGTCTTAGGGAGCGGCATCAACTGCCTCATACGTGGTGACCTTCACTATTATATGCCATTGACTCATCTGGAGTAATCTCAACAACCAGTTACCAACACTTGCTCTTGACTGATAAACAGAGAATGGGGCTTTGGATCTTAACAATTCTCACAATTGTCATGTCTTCCACAGCAGCGAAGTTTAGTAAGTATTGCCTTTTAACTATAATTTAATTATTGTAAATTATATAATTTCAAGAACATTCACCTTGTTTTCAGTGACTTGCTTCCAATTATTCCAGTCGAATTGTAAACTGAAAAATATATTTTTTTGTACAATCATTCTTCATTACAGATCTATCAGAAGAAATTCTTTGTAATGTGTATATCATAAGTTTAGCTATACATATTCAAATGCATCAGAATTTAACATGGTGCCTGCACATGGGAGGTGTTGTAGGTATTTGTTGACTGACACATAGTTTGTTTAGATAGATATGCCTGCTTTTCCATTGGAGCACTGTGGGGGATTTAGCTTCAAATTAATACATCAACATTTCATAAGAGATCTTAATCATTTATTTTTTCCCAAAGTATCACAGTGTATGACCAGTCTCTAAATTTAATCCTGGAAGAAAATATTGAGAGGATAGAAATTACAAGCTTTTCATTTGGTCATTTTAGGATTGTCTTTATATCTTTTATTTGCAGGTAAACAATCATGGGGCCTGGAGAATGAGGCTTTAATTGTGAGATGTCCTAGAAAAGGAAAACCTAGTTACACAGTGGATTGGTATTACCCACAAACAAACAAAAGGATTCCTACCCAGGAAAGAAATCATGTGTTTGCCTCAGGCCAACTTCTTAAGTTTCTACCAGCCAAAGTTGATGATTCTGGTATTTATACCTGCATTGTCAGAAGGTATTACGCAGAAAGCTCCCACCCTCTTTCAGCCTGCTCACCTTTCTTGAATAGTTGATCCTTTGAGCCGCCCTTGCTTTCATTCCTTCCCTAGTCCTTTCTGGAACAGTTAAATTTATAAAGTGATTTGGATAAACTTCTAGGGATACTGTCAGGTTGAGGTCTAGCTCATTTTGAGCTAACTATTTGGATTTATAATTGCAGGGATAAATTTGCAGCTGACTTAGAGAAAAACCTAGCATTCCTAATGACCAAGATAACTGAGAGTAATTGCTCATGTTTGGCTGGAATTAAGAACAAACCAGCACAGAAAATAGTAACCTGGTTGTTTTCCATCTCAGGGGGCCTCTAGTAGGTGAAAAGGGGTGGTGACCAGTGCTTTTAACCTTCAAGTTAAACAACAGAAGGCTGATGAGATTGTGTGCCTACAAATTACTTACTCTTGTTCACAAAAAATTTGATTTTGTGACCGTATTTGGCATACACAAAATGTCAAATGAATTATATCAAAAGGCAGAATGTGTTAGTTAAGGGCCTAGGTCTGAGGCTGGACGAGTATCAAATTCATGCCCTGCCTCTAGTTAGCTGGGTGATGCCAGCAAGCTACTTCTCTGCCCTTCAGTTTCCTTCCCTGTAAAATGCATATCATGTAATAATGGAATTCAACTCAAAGCATTATTGTGAAAATAAACTAAGGTAATGTGTGAAGAGTGCTCTTGATCATCACTGGTACAGAGTAAACTCAATAAATACTAATATCTTTATTACACTGGGATTATAGCAGATGTCATGTATGAATAAATGGTGAAGAAGTCATCGTTGGGCTATCATGGGGGCTGTTTTTATCTCAAGTGTAATAAAAAAGTATTTAAATTCTAGATTTAAATGTTTATTTTTAAATAAGAAAATAACCATTATGTATATTGATGGTTTTTAAGAAGAAAAGCAATATTAAGTAAAGGCTAAATTTAGGTGAAGTTATTTCACAATGCTAAGTGACTCTTAATTGTCTGACTTATTTTAAAAGTCCCACATCCAATATGACTGGATATGCAAATGTCACCATATATAAAAAGCAGCCAGATTGCAACATTCCAGATTATTTGATGTATTCAACAGTATCTGGATCAGAAAAAAATTCCAAAATTTATTGTCCTACAATTGACCTCTACAATTGGACAGCACCTCTTGAGTGGTTTAAGGTAAGAGGAAATTTGGGGAGGAAATAGATGAAAATTACACAGTTAAAATAAATACAAGTGGCTGGGCCCAGTGTCTTACTCCCATAATCTCAGCACTTTGGGAAGTCAAAGCAGGCAGATCACCTGAGGCCAGGAGTTTTAGATCAGCCTGGCCAACATGATGAAACCCCATCTCTACCAAAAAATACAAAAATTAACTGGGCGTGGTGGCGCATACCTGTAATCCCAGCTATTTGGGAGGCTGAGGCTTGAGAATCACTTGAACCTGGAAGGCAGAGGTTGCAGTGAGCCCAGGTTGCACCACTGCACTCCAGCGTGGACAACCAAGATTCTGTCTCTAAATGAATAAATAAATAAATAAAGTGGAGAATTACTAAAAAGGAACATTTCTTATTTCAGAATTGTCAGGCTCTTCAAGGATCAAGGTACAGGGCGCACAAGTCATTTCTGGTCATTGATAATGTGATGACTGAGGATGCAGGTGATTACACCTGTAAATTTATACACAATGAAAATGGAGCCAACTATAGTGTGACAGCAACAAGGTCCTTCACGGTCAAGGGTAAGCTACCAACTTTAACGAGACAGAATACTGGAAAGAAGTCAAAGTGGGAACAGTTGTGCCCTTCTGGTTGGGTTTCTTGTACTTCACCCTCCTCCCTCTACTTCTTCCTGCTCTGTCTTATCTTATACATTCTTAACTATGACACAAAGAGATTTTCTGAATACACTATCAAGATTTAACAAATTTCAGGGGAAATTACATTACTAATTCAAAGCCACATCTATTCTTTATTCTTCTTTGTGACTTAATTTTCCAAAGATAAAGCAATCTAAATGCTAACTTACTTTTTTTTTGAATGATACTACAGCTATTTGGAGAGCAAAACCAACTTTTTTTCCCCCTAGTTTGGAATCAGAATTTCTGCAAATTAAAAAAAAGAATTTAATCTTTAATACTCATTGGGTTTCCATCATGAGAAGCCTTATGATGGGATACTATGTTGTACATAAATGTTGTTGAATGGTTTTTATTCCTTGTTCGCAATACTTTAAGCATCATCAGTGGCCTCGAGTCAGTCACTTCATTCTAAAGATGTTTTTTTCCAAGTTATTTTAAATTTTATAAAAGCCTATTTAGGGGAAATACTTCACAATCATAGCTTATCAGTCTACAAAGAATTGGGGTCTCCTTAGCACAAGTCGATCTACAGACATAGATGACGTATGACAGTTTTTTTTAGGGCAAAGCAATATTGGAGAAAATGTTTTGGAGTTTTTTCAGTATTCCACCACAGTAAAATAAGCATCACCAGACTGTACTCCTATCAGCACCTGTTGCTATTTAATATCAACCACTGCGGTGGTCCTTAATCACACTCTCTTTAAATGAATGAGCATCAAGGGGTGGAGGATTGCAGCAGTCCTCCACAAACACTGCCTGTCTTTCAGCCGCAGTGGTCACGGGAGGCAGAATTCCATATGGGGAAGATTTCACTGAGGATGGGCACCCTAGTGGAGAACTGCAAGCAAATCTGTGGACTCACACATTTACTATTTTCATGGGTCTTTTGAAAACTTCCCTGTAGTCTTATTCTTATGCTGTAGAATTGTAGTTTTCATGTAATTAGTTTTATGGGCTGCAGCAGCATCTGTTTTAGTGATATCAAAGAGAATAAAAATATTACAGAGCATCATAGGTAGTAAAAGAAAGTTTTATTTAAATGCTCTTCTGTTTAATCTGTGTGGGTATGTATTTGTCATTATGGGTTATTGTCAGAAGAATTTGAAAAACATTGCTATGAAATACAATAGAAATATGGAATACTACCTATATATTGATGACCATTCAATTCTCTCCTAATATTTATATTTCTTTTTGTCTTTAAGATGAGCAAGGCTTTTCTTTGTTTCCAGTAATCAGAGCCCCTCCACACAATGAAACAAAGGAAGTGGAAATTGGTAAGAAAATTCATAGGAATGCTGTAAATATTGCCTAGAAAATCCTTCCATATGACTCATGTTCTGAATTCCCTTGGTGGGGGGTCAGGCAATTAGCATAAGAACCTTGAAGAGTAAGTGAAGTAACATCCCTGGAAGCACCTGCGCCAGACACTGGCTAACATTGAGAACGAAGGCATAGCAATTGCAGTGTTTACATTTGTTTATTGTAATTCATGGTGCTTTCATGTATGGATTTAATTTCATCTTTATCTCTATCGAGCTTGGGATGGAGAGCTGCAGAGTGTTCATTCTGGGCAATGGTAGCTGGGTTAGGTAAAACACATTTATCTTCAAAGGTAGCTTATGGAGAGATGAAGAAGAGTTCTGTAGGATAAAGGTGTGGAAGAGAGTAGTTGGAAAGAAAGTCTAATTTCCGGGAAATGGCAATCCTTTTACTAGAAATCCTTTATAATGTGGATTTGGTGGAGCCAGAGTCATTGGCCTTTTTAGTTCCCATGCGGGTGAGAGTGTAGTGGGAGCTGAGCTTCAAACCCAGCTGGGTGAATGGAGGTAATGGGAGCGGGGAGGAGCCAAGAGAGGACATAGAAAGAGGAAGGTGCTAGAGAGGAGTGAGGGAAGTCATGGTAGGGTGCATACTAAGCGTTTAGCAAATATTTTTTACGTTAAATGGGATAAAATGCTACTTGCAGAAGTTAATTTTATTGGTGAATATCCTTACCCCCTTCTAGGAAAAAACGCAAGCCTAACTTGCTCTGCTTGTTTTGGAAAAGGCGCTCAGTTCTTGGCTGTCGTCCTGTGGCAGGTTACTGGGAAAAGTATCACAGACTTTGGTGAAGCAAGATTTCAACAGGAGGAAGGGCAAAATCAAAGGTATTTTTATATCAAAGAGAACCATCCCCTTCCCCTTGCACACAGTTTGCACCTACAAAGTAGGCATTAAAAGTAACACGTTGTTTTCTTAGTTTCAGCGGTGGGATGACTTGTCTAAACATGGTTTTAAGAATAGTTGACATGAAGGAAGAGGATTTATTGCTGCAGTACGACTGTCTGGCCCTGAATTTGCATGGCTTGAGAAGGCACACCATAAGACTAAGTCGAAAAAATCCAAGTAAGGAGTGTTTCTGAGACTTTGGTCACCTGAACTTTCTGTGGCAAGTGTAAGCAGAATGGAGTGCGGTACCGGGAGATCCATCAAGACAATGGGAGTGGACCGTGCTGTGAAATGTGCTTCTCTTCTTCGGATGCTGTTTGCTCTCTGGTCTTCGTAGACTGTTTCTGTTTGCTGGGAGCTTCTCTGCTGCTTAAGTTCCTCCTCCTTCCTCCCTTTCTCTGTCGTTGGTTCTAGAACACTCAGCTGCTTCTTTGGTCATCCTTGTTTTCTGACTTCATGAACTCCTTCTGTCTCACTGTACGTGAAAGAAGATGCACCAACAGTAAACTCGATGTGTTCTTTGTGCTCTGGGATAACTTCTATTACATGTTGTAAGCATGGTCCCTTCTATACCTTTTTCTGGTCATAATGAATACATGTTTTGTTAGTGAGGATGGTAAAGTGAACGAAAACGGGGAGTATCTAACCACTGCCATTTCAGTGAGAAAATCCTAGGTGCTACTCTATCATAAGACATGCTGAGGCTGGGCGCGGTGGCTCAAGCCTGTAATCCCAGCACTTTGGGAGGCCGAGGCGGGTGGATCACGAGGTCAAGAGATCGAGACCGTCCTGGTCAACACGGTGAAACCCCGTCTCTACTAAAAATACAAAAAATTAGCTGGGCATGGTGGTGCGTGCCTGTAATCCCAGGAGTCTGAGGCAGGAGAATTGCCTGAACCCAGGAGGCGGAGGTTGAGGTGAGCCGAGATCGTGCCATAGCACTCCAGCCTGGGTAACAAGGGCGAAACTCCGTCTCAAAAAAAAAAAAAAAAAAAAAAAGACATGCTGTGTTAGGCCATTCTCGCATTGCTATGAAGAAATGCCTGAAACTGGCTGATTTCTATGAAAAGAGGCTTTGTTGGCTCGTGGTTCCGCAGGCTGTATGGGAAGCATGACAGCATCTGCTACTGGGGACACCTCAGGAGCTCTACTCATGGCAGAAGGCAAAGTGAAGGCAGGCACTTCACAAGGTGAAGGAAGGAACAAGAGAGAGAGGTGCCACACTTAAACAGCCAGATCTCACGAGAAGTCACTCACTATTGCAAAGACAGCATCAAGGGGATGGTGCTAAACCATTCATGATGAGCTTACCCCCATGATCCAATCACCTCTCACCAGGCTCCACCTCTAATACTGGGGATTACCATTCAGCCTGAGATTTGGGCAGAAACACAGATCCAAACCACATCACACACATTATCATTGTCAAACTGTATAAAGTATTAAATATAAGTGAAACACAAGGGAAGTCTGCTAGCTCAGCCCATTTCTTTCCTGCATTTGTTATTCACCATGCAATTCTGGTACTGCCTATTCCAGGGAGGCTTTCTTGGCCCTCAGTTTGGAGTATACACACCTTCCAAGAACCTCTTGCAGCATCCCATTTGTATCATAGCACTGGTCACATTGCCTTACCAAAATCTGTTTGACAGTCTGCTCAACATGACTGCAAGCTCCATGAGGGCAGGGACATCATCTCATTCATCTTTAGGTCCTTAGTGCAATACCTGGCAGCTAGCAAGTACTCAGTTAAATATTTGTTGACTGAGTAAATGAATACACAACCAAGTTATTGATACAAAATATTTTTTGAGTACATTTCTAGTTCTCTAGCTATAAGGCTTAATTATAGAACAAAATACTATTTTCATATTTATGTTTGGTAAATTCAATAACTTTCCTCATCAATTGGAAAGCCAAATTGTTTATCACTTCCTTATAGCTTTTTTTTTCTGAATCCAGCAGGTTTTTGATAACATAATTATGACACAATAAAAGGACAATGTGAAACTGATGAATCTTCATTGGGTTAATTTCAGACACTATATAATCTTTTTAAATGTAACATTCTTTTATCTATACATAAATAATTGGTGGCATCACAAATAGCCAAAGCAGGGTGGAGAGAGTGATCCCTCTTGGGTGCACACAAGAAGGCGATATGTTGTCTACAGAGTTTTCAAAACTGTACTAAAGACAGCTACAAGTCACTGTGCTTTTTATTATCGCCATGCCCAGACAACGCGAAACGTCTGAGATGAAGTGCTCCTCCCGCAGAGGTGGACTGATCCTTCCCCACTCGCTTGCTGTGTCTCTGAATGCAATGTTGTCTTGGAAAATAGCTTACCAGGCAGTTCACTCCTGATCACTCGTCAGTTTCCTCACTTATTCTTTGTGTTTCCTGGCAATGACATCCTGTTTTCTATAGGAAGCATTGGCTCCCATATAAAAGGAAGGAGAGATAAATATATTTTTACACTCGCCCCTCCTTAGGGGCTGTACAACCACGTAGAAATTGTTTAATGTGCTTGTCAAACAGCCAAAGAAAGTGTTAAACCCTGGGTTCCCACCCATACATGTGATAGGGTCCAGATTTATCTGGATACACACAGAGAGGCACAACAGGAGGAGAAAAGTTTGGGGTGTGGGGACAGGGGACCCCCAATATGGTTGAATCACATAGCAGGTCTTTGCCTGAGGTGATATGTGGGGTTTTTTTTGTTTTAATTTTGACTTTAACCCCTGATTTGTAAGTTTTTCATAAAATAAACAGAGTCATAACTCACGGAGATGGCTATAAGTGCCATAGTGTTCTGTGGGTCTCTGGTCTCTGCCAGTGATAAGTGTGGCACCCCAGGAAGGCCATGGATCCCATCACGGTGCTATGTGAGGCCACACTAGGGGTGGAGATGTGTCCCATGGATCCTGCAGCCATCCATCCAGCCTCCCCAGCCACACTGCCCTTGCGTCCTCATGCTTTGCTACGTTATTGTTGATTAACATCCTTGGTTACCTATGTGTTGGAATTGTTTTTATGTTGCAGGTATTCAGTGTCTTTGCTCCTTCTAGCTTATTTGTATTTCACCTGTTTTTCTTTAAATCAACATGATTACACTATGTTTCAGCAACTGTATAAATTAAACAAAAATTATTACTACTGCTGTTGAGTTGTCACAATGAATTCTTTATTTCTGAAATTACAGCATTTCTTGAATTTAAGAGAACAAAAACTTAACAGGCCTATGTCCCCATTTTATTAACTATTACTAAATATACATCTGATGCTCATAATAATAATAGTGAACATTTATTCATTATTTCCTATGTACCAGGACTTATCTAATTATTTTACATTTAATTTTCTCATTTGTTTTCCCAATACTTCATGAGGGAGAGACTGTTACTATTATCTAATTTTATAGATGAGGAAGTGAAGGCAAAGAAAGTTGAATAACTTGCCAAATACCACAGTTATGGAGCAAGGATTCAAACACAGCCAGCATTTTCTTATTTATATGTATATACAAAAAGTAGTGTTTAGTGAATTACACACCTGAATTACCTATACTTTTATAAAATAATTTGCACTTATGAAGACTTCCTTTGATGTCTTGGATCAATTTCTTTTCTCCACTCGGAAGCATCCAGCCTCTAGCATAGTTACTTCCCAGAAATCCCCACAGGAAGTACACACTCCTCCGTGTATCCAGCTGGGATTTTTAGACAGAGTGACTTGGAAAGGAATCCTGTTGGAATGATTTATTTACAGAGTTTTCATTGTTTAACCTGATGACAGTAAACTCTTTGTCAGTTTTCACTTTTTTTCCCCAACTTTGGCTCGTATCACCTTGATAATCCTTGATTTCATACTGCTGGTCACTGAGAGAGCTGATCAACGATTAGAGGTTGTGGTGGAATTCATGAATATGGGCCAGTGATTTTTCTATCTCAAAACTGGGAGCCCATATGTGGAGACTCAAGATGGAAAAGAACCATATCAGCAAATCTCATTCTCACATTCATCAGTGCATATGCATATTGCATCTGCATTTTGTGAAGCAAGGAGTACTAGGATAAAGTTCAGTGCTGGCTGAGTGATGTTCACCACGAGAGGAGTATGGGGCATAGGTAGGACCTAGAACTCAGTAATTTGACTTTTGAGTTCTTTATCAAAGATGCTTTAGCCACTTAGGTGACTCTTGCTACTTCTTCAATCTCCTACACCACCAAGCCTTCAGAGACAACAAGTACCTCACACCTGTTGATGCCTTCTTAATGCCCTGACACCACCTTGTCCCTTCCTTTCTCATTATTGCGTGAGTTACAAACCTCTGCATCTTGCATCCCAAGTACCACACTCCATTCTTCTCTGAGTGCCCATAGTTTCTTTGAACAGAAGCAAACTTTCTATTACCATCAGGTTAATCTCATGGGAAAACCACTCAAATCTCCAATGCTCTGTGACCTTCAGGATAAGGCAGTGTGCTTTAGCTGGGGTTTCAAGTCTGGTCAGAACCTGGCCCTGACTGAACTTTCTAATCATATCTTCCACCAATTCCCCAAAGTGGGTTATTCCAATTCCTCAGAAAGCACACTCCCATCTCCGCACTTAGGTTGATGGCATTCTCTCTGCCCAGGTAGGCATATCCTTTTCTTGCATCTCTGAATTCTACTCATCTTTCAGGGACCTTGTCCTCCTCCAGAAAGTCTCCCTTTTCCAGTCCTGCATGCAGCAAGCTCTCCTTTTAAAATTCTTTATCAGCTAAAATCATGCTTTTGCCTCCCATCTTAGTTAACAAGTGTCTTTTTGCCCTTGAGAATTCCCTGTAATGCCTAGCCTGATGTGTTGTAGCGGCTCAATAAATGTGAATGTCCTGGTTCTTAAAGCAGCCATGGTAATTTCCAGTGGGTGTGTTTTATGTGAAACTCTTGTACTCCCAAGGAAAGCCAGCATCCATGTATCTGTTATTTATCTTTTTTCAGTAGTAATAATAATCATTTTTCTCCTTCCCCTATCTTTTGAATAGTTGATCATATAAACAGCACTTACTACATAATTGCAGTATGTAGTGGATTGTTAATACTAATCAACGTCCTTGTTATCATCCTAAAAATGTTCTGGATTGAGGCTGTTCTACTCTGGAGAGACATAGCTAAGCCTTACAGGACTAGGAATGGTAAGTGGCAAATATCAAGTTCTTCTTCCAAAGAAAAAGTCCCATAATAACTGTTGGTTACTTGTCTATTAATCTTTCAATAGCTAGCCTGCTAAACTCAGATTCAATTTTTCTTGCTAATTTATTATCAATGAGTTGTGTTGTTTGATTTTCTTAGAGGCCATTGTCCATCCTGCTCTGTATCTCCTCATGGTCCTGAGATTCATCTCAACAGCTCACACTTCTTCCCTGATAGGATTGCTATTCCTACTCAGTTCCCAATAACAGAATATGCCCCAAGCCCAGAAAGGTGTAAATTTCATAATGTGTTGGTAAGACACAATGTGTTTCATAATGTGTTGGTAAGACATTATGAAGTTAAACACGGTAGCAAAATTGTTCCTGTTTTCCAGATGTGGGCAGATTAGAAAGGTCCGTTAGAATGCACATGTGCTCTACCTGAAACCCTGACCTGTAAAATCTAACCCAGGCACATAAGTATACGCATAAAAGGAGTCAGTTCTGTCTGCTAGATGCAAACCCCATGCTTTCGTTTGGAGGCAGATACACGTTGAATTTTTCAAACAATTGACTCAAGTAGGAACTGTTTGATTTGTGAGAAATTCAGACCCCTTAAAAAATTCTATGCCCTTGCTACTATTAGCTTTACATTTTTTCACTTTCCCAGGGGAGTATGGGGAAAACAAAGATGAAACCAAAGTCTATCCAGCACAGAAGAAGATCCCTCTCTATGACCATAAACATTATTCATAGATTATTAATCAAAATTGATGAGATAGTTTTAACTATGCTGGACAGGCTGTGGTCCACCTTTTTGTTATTTAGTCTGTGACAGTAAAAAGGAGAAAAGCCTTGGGATGAAGACCATTATTTCCTGATCATGTTTTGTGGCAGTGGTTTGCTGTCAACATCTCTTGAGTCTAGAATATTTTGGAGGATGACAGAGGAATGTCTTCTAAGAGTCCAGTGAGAATTTTTGGAATCAAGTAAGAAGTTGTACTTCTTTTTTTCATTTTCAGATGGAAAGATCTACGATGCTTATGTTATCTACCCACGGAACTACAATACCGGTACAGATGGGGCCAGTCCTGTAGAGTACTTTGTTCACCAGATTCTGCCTGATGTTCTTGAAAATAAATGTGGCTATACCTTATGTATTTCTGGGAGAGATCTGATACCCGGACAAGGTAAAGCTATCAACATACATTAGGGACAGAAATTCATGCTTAGTAGAGGCTGTGAGCTAGGTGACCTTATCCCTGCGTTGGATCAGGAATGGCATTTATGACCTCAGGCCTTAAGACCGGAATTTTAAATATGTATACAGAAGCAGACCCTCATCATTCGCTCTTTCCTCTCCCATCATTGTCCTGGTGATGAAACCTTCACAGTAATGTCAGTGATGTGAATTCAGAGTTACAAGTCCTTTGCTTCAAGGACTTAGCAAGTCATCGCCCCTGCTTTATTTCCTCAGTCCCCCACCAGGATAACTCTGCCGCTTTTTAATTCCGTTCATAAGATTTGAAAGAGGACTTAAAAATTGAAGAATTTTGTTCTGGTAGCCATAGACACTAGCTGGAATATCTTAAAAGGACTCAGAGAGTTCCTCATGACTTTCTTTATGGTGGTGAAACATTTGCAAATTTATATTCTCACCAAAAGAAATAGAGCTGTAACTTCTGTTTCTTAGTGTTTCTGCTCAATTTCATATACTTTTGACAGTTTTGTCACAACACCTGTGATTTCAGTAGTTGTTTTTCTCTTCCCTTTACACATTTACGTCCAGTACCTATGAACCCTCCTTGTGTACTCTTCTCCAATTTCTAAGATCAGGAAGGGTTTGGAATGTAAATGGGGCCCAGATATCAAGTGCCTAATCTTAATAAAGCAAATGTTCTGTTTTACATTTTAAACTCATATCTTACTAAGAAGAGGAATTCACACGCCTATAGATGTAAAGATATGAACAACAGGTGAATTCGGTTTACCCTGGAATATCTGGGAATGCTAATAGCCTCAATAATGGCTCAAGAGACTTGTAAAAAGTACAATTTAGGAGTGTGTAATGCATTTCTTCTCTCGAGGCCCTCTTCTTCTTCCATTCTCCCACTGGTCACTCATGCAGGTAGAAGTAGCGAGTAATGCTCTCAAACACTCTTTTCATATTGCAAGTATACTCAAGAACCTGCAGGGACTCCTGTTGTTTCTCAACAATGTGCCACCTCTGGCCACAAGCTCTTCATTTCCTCTTCCTCATTCCAATCACCTAAGTTCTAGTTACACTTCTCCCCAGCCAAACCCAGATGCTAGCTTTCTCACACTCAACCTTGTGCTGCCTTAAACATGCGACAACGCGCTAATCTGGAATGGTTTTCTACTTCCCTCCATCCATGTAAGTCCTCTGACGTTTCCTCAACCAAAACAAAATAAAACCCAACAAAACAACACCAAACTTCACTCTTCGCTTCAAAAAGTTCATGACTGAACAAGGTACTGTGTTTATTCTCATGCAACTTCTCTTGCATTTGCCCCATCAAAATCCTCTCTGCACCACCACTCCATCCAATGGCCCTGGGTGGCTGATCATCATAGAATCCATCTGCTCCCTTGTCCTCTGCTCCAGGCTGGGTTGTCCAATGGGAGGCACTGCCAGGAGGTCAGAGGGTGGTCATATACCTGCCCCTCCAGGTGGGGCTTCTGGGGCAGCTGTGCTCCTCCCTGTGGGAGCAGCTCTTCTCAGCCGGCCTGCCTCATGCCTCTGCACTCCTTCAGCCATCACATGTAAGAATATCTTAGGTTGTTTTATTTATGGTTGTGCTTTCTCCTGTTGCGGTGAGGACTGGATATTTCATGTTCTTTCTAAGTCCACCCAGAGCTAATTGGAATCGCCATGGAGTCTACGGTCTATAAACACCGAATGGGTAGAGGGTCTATTGTCCCTTAAGGTTTTTCTAGTCTGGATTAAATCAGTTTCTACAACAGAGATTAATGTCTTTAAAGACTTAGAATTCTGGTTCATTATGTACATATTATCTTCTTAGAATATTTGCTTAGGTGTTTTAAAATGGCTTAAAATTTTAACTCACATATTAAAAAGTAAAATGCAGGAAGCCTTGGCCCTCAAAATTGACCAAAGTCTCTAGGAAAGTAAGTCCTGGCCTCACCTCATCCCCCATTAATCTCTGTTGTAGAAGCTGATTTAATCCAGACTAGAAAAATCTTAGGGGACAATAGATTAAATATCTTTACTTTCTCACTTACCTGGAAGGACTCTATTTTAGTTAAGACTAAGCTACCTGGGAAACAAAAATAGGACATTGGGGCTAATGTTCTCATGAATGAAAGGAGCACAAAGAACAAACCGGGCTCTCTATCCATGTATATTTCTACTTCTCTGAGTAAGTGACTTGATTGATGTCAGAGAATCTCACACCAGATTATAACAATAAGACTTTTAAGTGTTCAGAATATTTATGTTCAAAGCATTAGACTGATAGGAAATCTGACCTATTTCTTGAATGACTAGATGAAGCCACTGCAGTGGAAACCAACATACGAAACAGCAGGCGGCACATTTTCATCCTGACCCCTCAGATCACACACAGCAAGGAGTTTGCTTATGAGCAGGAGATCGCCCTGCACAGTGCCCTCATCCTGAACGACTCCAAGGTGATTCTTATTGAGATGGAGGCTGCGAACGAACTGGGTGGGCTGCAGGCTGAGGCACTTCAGGACTCTCTCCAGCATCTGATGAAAGTGCAGGGGACCATCAAGTGGAGTGTGGACCTCACTGCCAATAAACAATCCCTGAGTTCCAAATTCTGGAAGCATGTGAGGTACCAGATGCCCGTGCCAAGCAAAATTCCCAGAAAGGCCTCCAGTTTGACTTCCTTGGCTGCCCAGAAGCAATAGTGCCTGCTGTGATGTGCAAAGACCTCTGAGTTTGAGGCTCTCCTAACTCCTGCTAACTGGCTCATGCCTCTGCACTTAAGTGTGAGAAGTAGGAACGTCAAAGGGATTCAGGCCTCAGGTTTCATCTGGTAACTTTGCTTCCATTTCCCTGGTTCTAGGTGGATAAGAAATGCCCAGAAATTTTTCTCTTCAATCGTCCCCCAGCCTCCAGCCTGCGTTTTCTTCCCTTTTCCCTCTTGCTTGCATCTCTCCACTGTGGTGTCGGATATTTTCACTACTCTCTTTTCCTCTCTCTCGGTCTTGTTTCATTTCTCCTCATTCTTTGTCAATAATCTACCTTCTGAATATCAAACTAATCATTTGACAGTAGATTTTCATGTCATTTTCAAGAACATTCTGATTTCCTCAGGCAGAATATATATATATATATATACATATATATATATATATAGATAGATAGATAGATAGATATAAATTCTGGCATGTTGGGAACAAAATTTACTATATATATAAAAATAAAGAGATATATAAATTTATATGTATTTAGTATCTATTCATATTTAATATATATGATATATTTAATAATATACATAAATTTATATATATGTATGTCATATATCATATATTAATATATGTTAATATTATTTATTAATATATGATAAATATGTATATTTATATATAGTATATGTAAGGCTCAGGCTGGAATGCAGTGGCTGATTTCAGCTCATTGCAGCCTCTGCCTCCTGTGTTCAAGCGATTCTCCTGTCTCAGCCTCCCAAGTAGCTGGGACTACAGGTGCATTGCTATCTTTTTTATGCCTGGCTAATTTTCTTTGTATTTTTAGCAGAGATGAGGCTTTAACTTGTCTGTCAGGCTGGTCTCGAACTCCTGACCTCAAATGATCCACCTGCCTTGGCCTCCCAAAGTGCTGGGATTACAGGCATGAATCACCACGCCTGACCTATTATATTTTATTTGAGTGGCTGCTCAGTCTCATCATCTCAATATTACTAATTTTGTTGGAATAACTTATCCCCATTGCCATTATGATCAAGCTTTTTTTCAATTCTAAAATTTATTTTATATACTTTTATTCTATTTAGAAATATTATTTTCTCCCTACAAAAGTGATAGAAGCATATTATGGAAGAAAATAAAATACGAAAGAAGAAAATAACAAAAATCACTCACAAATCCATCATCTTAAGATTTAAATTTTCTTTTTAAAAAAAAAAAATTTATGGCCGGACGCGGTGGCTCACGCTTGTAATCCCAGCACTTTGGGATGCCAAGGCAGGTGGATCACCAGAGGTCAGGATCATCAGCCTGGCCAACATGGTGAAATTCTGTTCCTACTAAAAAATACAAAAGTTAGCCAGGCATGGTGGCACATGCCTGTAATCCCAGCTACTCAGGAGGCTGAGGCACGAGAATCACTGGAACCCAGGAGGCAGAGGTTGCAGTGAACCAAGATCATACCGCTTCCCTATAGCCTAGGTGACAGTGAGATCGTCTCAAAATAAAAAATCATTTTTACACATATGTTTTTTACAGCTGAGGTAATACCATGTGGAGTTTGGCATTTTTCTGCTTAATATCACAATAAAAACATGTGACATGTCATTGAAACATTTTAAATTTAAAAATATTCATAGTGTTTTATCTCCCAGTTGTACTACAGGGATGCAACTTAAATATCCTGATAAATAATTCTGCATCAACCCTATCAGTATATCATCTATTTCCTGCTTTTAAAATGTCTTTTAAATTTGAGACCACTGTGTTGTAACATTTTTGTGAAGGTAGTAGGGCATTTTGACAAAACCGTTTTGGCAAATGGAGTTAATTTGCAGTCAGGGACACTTTAGTCAGAGGACTGAAAGGAAGCACACACCCTTGGGGGCTGCAAGACTGGATCAGAGCCACCGTGATAGCCTCCTGTCCCCTCAGATAGGAATCCTGTTGGTGCCTCAACTTTGGTAAGTAGATGGAGAGCTTATCTCAGTTGAATCGCTTAATCAAGTATATGATTCTGTATTTCACTGACAACCTGTCAACAGTCCAGAGTTCAACTGAGTTTTATCTCAGCTGTAAAACATCATCTTGAACTTTCTGTCATTCAATATCTTTCAGAATCCTCACTAAGAGAAATCATATCTCCAGAAGGTTTCTTATGGTTACTCATCTGTCTAGGTACCTATACCTTTAGTCTGTACCCCCAGATTGGGTTGCTAGATAAAATACAGGAAACCTGTATTAAAATATCAGGACACCTCGTTTGTAGGGACACGGATGAATCTGGAAACCATCATTCTTAGTAAACTGACACAAGAACAGAAAATCAAACACCACATGTTCTCACTCAGGCGGATGTTGAAAAATGAGAACACAGGGACATCGGGAGGGGAGCATCACACACTGGGTGGGGTCCTTTGGGGGGCCAAGAGAGGGACAGAGGGGGG